TTATCCACCCCACTGTTTTTTTTTTCTTTTTAACCCACTCTCTTTCTGATGCAGAGAGGATCATCGATCTTTCTGGCCTGGAATGGAGGAGGAAGAGAATAGGTCATGTTTAATTAATTTTGATCTTTTCCGGGCATCAACACACACATATTCTTTTGATGCATTCTAGAGTCTGTATTTGAGAGCACGCATTTATAGGTGAACTCAGCCTGAGGGGAAATGCCAGTTTTTTGCAGGCCCAATTAAAATTTGCAGGCTGTTCTGGAAGGGAAGTAAATCAGGATGCATGTGGCAGAGCCATGTGAGCTGCAGTGTGTGTGTGTGTTCGTGTGTGTGGCTGTGTGTGCACTCCATAAAAGCAGTCATATTGTAAAACATCTGAGAGCGTTTCAATTTCTTTTTACAAGAAGTGTCGTGCTTTGATTGCAATCAGCAGCTTGATTTATACCTACAGGTTTTTAACTTTGTGATGCATGAAGAGATGAGTTTAAATACAGATGTCTCCTCATCGTCCTGCTGCACAAAGTGCAGTCTAAAAGTCCTGAGTGAATGCATGGCCCACCTTGTACTTCATTTAGAAAGGAAGAATATGTTTTTGCTACCTATTGAGAAACAGTCAAAAACTGGAAATAATTTGATTTAATTCTTGGAAAGTTCAGTCTGCTTATGTGGATTATCTCATTTTTCAGTCTTGTTTGTAGATCATAAATATTGGTATAATAAATGAGCAGGCAAAACCACAGACTTTTGCAGTTGTACTTTACACAGCCAACCACAGTAACCTTGAATCTCTACCATAAACCTTTAATAATAAATGGACACACCCATCCAAAGCCACACGTGAAGCCCTGGAGAACGACTGGAAGTTCTCTGCAAGTTTTTAAATGTTGCTCTGTAGAAGAGTCTTTCAGAAAGTGAAGCTACAGGTTTCTCAGATTTTGACATGAAATGTTGTCATCAAACTTGTAAATTATAATTCCATAAAAAAGAAAAACGGATGAAGCCGAGCAGGATGGTGTCCTGCAACCATTCTCTATTAACCTGTTTTACTTCTCTTTTTCATCTACTTTAAATCGATCATTTCTAAAACAGACATCGTGAGCTTTTGAAGTTGAGGCAGAAAATATGGGAAAAGGTCACAAAGGGGTCAAGTCATGTTTAGTGTTATTAAAAATGTAGTGAGAAGCAGATGTACGTTCAAACAACCACAGTCACTGCACTAAATTCCTCTGTCCATTTCTTATGTATGGTTTGTGCTTTGGTCGAATCCTGTTCTGTTTCTGGTTCTGGTGTTTGTCTCCTCGGTCCAGAAGGTAGTTTAATTCAGTCTCCTTCACAGCCCAGCTCCAATTTAAGTTGTTTTTTCTCTCATTTCCTCAACTTCACCCTCAGGACATTTAACTCTACTATATACATTACCCCATTCTGTTTTCTTTCACTTTGTGTTATTGCCCTTTATTTTAACCTCACATTCATCTCCCATCATCTTTATTATGTTATCATTTCTGGCGTATAACCACTTGCAAGCTTGACCCAGTGTGGAGGGGATAGTGATACTGTATAAGCAAAACCCTTCTGGGTGGGTGAGGAGAGAAGGAGTCCATACAAGAGCACGGAAGCTCGGGTGTGAAAAGCCAACTACACAGGCTCAGCAAGGAGAGGAGACATGTAAAGAAAATACTGCTAATGCAGTTGTCCCTGTGAATTATTTAGCTAAGATGTTTTTGGAAGCTGCAACAGTTGTTTGGTTGTTTGACCCTGACCCTGACCCTGTCGCCTCGTTCAGTCTACTCATGTTTTTTCTAAGAAAGTGAAGCTGATCCACAAAAGTGTGTGCTGTGACATCCAAATGTCCAACTGTTTAACAATGGAACTTCATTGGACATATTAACTGCTAATTAATTGCTAATTAAATGATTAGCCTGGTGTCTTACATTATGTTCTCTCCATAACAGCAGCTAATTGTGCAGTAAACAAACCAACATAGTGTGACTGAGTGTGACTGATTTCTACAGGTGGTCTTCACTGTCCTGTGTACCATGTCGGTCCTGTGAAGACTCACATCAGACTAGCTAACCTTTTCACAACAGTGAACGAGTCCTGCAGTGTTTTTTTTTCTCTCTGTAATTGTGCTAAAAGGCAGTGTTGTTTTCTGTTTTGAGCACAAGGTTCTTAATTATGATTCTTTTATTTGGTATCAAAGGTTGTTCAGTAGCAGAGTTGCTTTTTGATGTGCTGTTAATTAGTTGATAAAAATAAAAAGTAAAAAAGATAGGTCTGATTTTTACAGTGTGACTCCCACTTGACTTGTTCTCAACAAACTAAATTATAAAAAGTAGATTTATTTTTTTAAGTTCATCCCAAAACTTTCTTCCCTGCAGAACAGGCCAGAGTTAAACACTGCACTGAGCACCCAGTAAAACATAGGGCTGGACACCTTACAAAATGCAAAAGCTATAGATCCCTGTTATTTTATTTATTTTACAAGCATCAGACAGAGATGTATAGATATATTTAAAATAACTATAATAAATCATTGTTAAAATAAAATAAATATTATATCCTTTTAAGGAAAGGTCAGCATTTTCTACCATGGTCTAAAAAATAACAAAATATGTTATTTTTTCATCCCAAATAATTTCACCTTCTGTACTGTGCTCTACAGCACGTGTACAGAACATTTACAATACATGGGGGTGTTGATGTATTCCTTTAGCCGTAGAGCATAGTTTGCAACATAATCTCTTTATTTTTCTTCAAAGTAGGAATAACAACAATAACAGTGGCATCAGTCTTGTTTGGGTCTTTTGTCCTGCCCTGTATCACTGTTCCGGATTAGAAAGTCATTGAACAGGGATTAGCAGAGGCAAGAATAAAGCTCTCCTTGGACAACAAAGGTGGGAGGGGGCAGGCAGGGGCTCACGGATCAAGAAGACCCCCTGAGCACTCTGTGTGGGTCTCTCTCTCTTTCTCTCTTTCTGTCTCTTTCTCTCTCTCTCTCTCTCTCTCTCTGTCTCTCTCTCTCTCTCTCTCTCTCACACACACACACACACACACACACACGCGCATATAAACACACACTCCCTCTTCCGTACACATTCAGCAGCGCTTCCTAACGCTACTTAACCCAGCGCAGGAGGCAACAGCCAGAGAGTGGCTTTCCACATTCTACATGGATGTAGCAGCAACTGTCGGAAGGTGCCGGAGCATCACCTTTGACCTTTAGGTGACAGGATCCAGTATTAAGTCACAGTGTGACATAGCAGAGACCCCACCCATCCCACCCTCTGTTGCCTCCAGTGGATGAACGCATTAGAAAAAGCCTGTCTTTCACATGACCGAGGGTCATATAGTGTTAGCTGCCATTTGAGCCTCGTTCACATGAAAGACCTGGTGGGTTTGACAACATAGG